AGACTGTAGTCTCCTACCCAGCGTGTGGTCCCTGGAGCCATAAGCTGCTGGGGCTCGGGGACCCGCCAGCCCCTTCCCCACGCCAGCCCCAGCGTCGGGCGAGAGACCCCAGCCTGGCGCCAAGCGCAGCGCGGCAGGTTCTGCGGACTTGGGGGGATGGGGATGGGGGACCAGGAGAAAACGGGGCCACGCTGGGAGCGATCGTCGTTCTACCTTAAAAACCCCTGAGACCCCAGGGCCTGCCCCTTCTGGTCTGCTCTTCCCTTGCCGCCCCCGAACCCCTGAAGTTAGCACTTTCGGAGAGAGGAATTAGAAGGTCTCCGAAGGGAACGAGAGCGTGATGTCTGCTCCCCAGCAGGACCTTAGGGGAGAGAGGGTTTCGCCGGATCGCGCGGGCCCCAGAAGCCAGGTGTCTAGGCCGGCGGTCGGGGCCGGGACCGCTGCCTTCGACCCAAACCCAGGCTCGCCGGTCTTTCCCTTTCCAGCTGGTCCTCAACGACGAGATGGTGAGGGATGGAGTTAGCAACTCAGCAACCTTAGGATGTGCTCTGTAGACCCTAATTCCTTCTTCTCTCCCTCCGCCAGTTCTTCCCTCCCCCACCCACGCCTGCCGGGGTACATCAGATCCAGTCCCTTCAAAACCTCGCTCTGTACCTAGCTTTGAATGCCACGGACACCTAGCCCACATCCCAGGACGGATATTTCAGAGGGTTAGGGCCAGACTTCACTTTCGAATTCTTTTTAAGCATTTTAAACTCCCAGCAAACCAGTTAGGAAACACTTTCAAGTCCCCATCCACCTTAAAGTAAAAAGTAAGACCCGATCAACCTGTGTGGGAGTGCCGGTGTTGGGCAGAGGGAGACTTGAATGACTATTTCATGCAGCCTTATGGGGGAGGAATAGGTAAAGGAAATGGCAGCCCTATTTTAGTCACACGCTTCTTACAAGCCATCGATAGTGTAAGAAATGTAGCCTTAACCAACGGTCACATTTCCGGGCAGGTATGTAGTGGTTTCCTAAGGCATACCTGAGGTTTCTTCATGGACAAGTCATTAAAATGCCATCCAGATGAGAGATGAGGACAAGTGGTCTTAACCCTCTCGGCACAATACTGCAGAATCGTCAGAGCCAATCAGTTTTATGTGTTTTTCTCTCTATTTTTTAATGATTTATGTAAGCCCCAAAGGTAAGCCAAACTTCACAAAATTTGCTTAGATTCATAAACCATGTGTTGGGTGTGTGGACATAGATAACAGATTAGATGTATACAACTCTTATCTGTGATATTTGCATTTCTTGTGACTTGCATAAATAGGGAAGACCCTGGATGTGACCCTGATTTGCTTTACTTTCGAGTGATTATATACTCTTTAGGTCAGTGTGTTTGTTTGCTTTTGAGGGAGAGGTGGGGAGCAGCTTTCCAAGGATAGATGTTTCTCATGGTTCACATAATAGACTGACCACAGATAAGGCCCACTAACTCAACAACCATATCAGAGATAGCAACCATGTTTAACAACTTTCTTATTAATAAAATTATCAAAGCCTTTGTTAATGGTACTAATCTCTTATTTCTCAGATTGACTAGGCACTTACCTAATGAAGTGTGTTTTTAGAAGGGAATGCTTTTAGTGAAAGTAAAAAGTATGAGGAACTGTAAGAGAAAAGAATGAATAGTTTTCCACTTATAGGAAGTTTATCTTTTAAAAAACTACAAAGTTAGCAATATTTTTAACTTCTAAGGTATGTAATTTTTACCAAATTTTTAATGATTCTTAATAGTCTGTAGTATTTTTAAGTTGTAGTCACCAATGACTTTATAATAAAGCCCAAGTTTAAAAAGAAATAGAGTGGAAACACACACTTATTTTGCCAAGTGTTGTGTTAATAATTTAATATGGAGCACCACTATAATACGGTCTAGTTGCTGTAGGTGTCTGACACATTATCTCAGAATCTGACAACAAACCCTTAAGGTAGATGGCCATTCACATTTCACAGAAGAAAGAGGCTCAGAGTTTGTGACTTACCCAAGACTCTACAGCTAAGTTAATGCTTGAACGAAGCCAAGCCTCTAGTATATTTTTTTAAAGTTTTATTGGGGTATAATTGATTTACAATGTTGTGTTAGTTTCAGGTGTACAGCAAAGTAAATCTGTTATACGAATACATACATCCAAAGCCTCTAGTCTTAATGATTTACTTTTTTACCCAAAACTGCCTCTTTTTCTTTTTCCTACATAAATTTTTGTTAACTTACCGTAATGACTGTATGAGGAAATGGAGATCAAGGAAGTTTAAGTCACCTGTCCAGGGGTTTCCATGTAACTTGTATACAGCAGAATTCGAATTTGGAATCAGGGCCATCTGTTTCCCAGATCCCTGTTCTTGCCACTGATTTCTATTAAATGACTGATTTAGAGCTTAACCTAATGAACATTTCACTCCTGCTCACCAACTATTCTCATCCACATGATAATGATGGCCTCATGGGCTGCAACACACTCCCAAAGACTTTATACTCAGTCGCTGGAGTGCTGGCTATATCTCTAGCCCCAGAACACTCATGAAAGCATATTGCAACCAATATGTGAGGTGACATCACTATGCACCTTGAATTCACTTAATTTCTCTTAAAATGTTAATCATTCTAGACTGGCATGGGGTAAAGGGCATGGCCTCAAGATAGGAAAAGCTGATACAAATTCTGGCTCTATTGCACAATACAAGTGCCAACTAACTCACATTACTGAGCTTCTCTGAGCCCCAGATTCTTTGTGTGTAATGGGGTTATTAATAAAGCCTACCTAGCTGGATCACTGTGTAGATTAAATGTAACAGTGCATGTGAAGGACAGCTCCTGTCCACCTAGTAGATGCTTAATAAATAGTAGGGGTTACTGTATTATAGCATGGATCGAAATTTCTGCTTTATTTTACATCTGTGTATTTTCCGTGCATATAGCGATTAGTCGATGTTGTCAGTGATTCACTCTTTTGTATAAAGACCTTATCTGGTTTTTAGCGTGTTTAACTTTTGTATCATATACTTTTTTTGTAATCTTGACTTATAAACATTTACTTACCTTATGTAGTTTTTCCTTTGCTCACTCTGCACATTTTTTAGAACATTACTAGCCATATTTCAATGGGATGGAATTTGTATTTTTTGGCAAATGCACTATCCTGTTTTCTGCCTCTCCTGTGTGGCCTCGAACATCTAGAACATTAATATACTCCCATTTGCTCCCAGCGCTGGCACAGAAGGGCAAGGGGGTAATTTCAGAGCTTTTCTTAAAGTAGATAGTTTGGCAGGTATATTGAAATTTTCCTAAACATATTAAAAGATAGAGAATAACTGAACTCATTTCCAATATCAGGCATGAAACAAAAAAATAACTTGGGCTCTTTACTTAGAACTGTAACACACTGTCACAAGTTCTGGGAGTGAATTTAGGATCCTTTTCTAGTGTTGGATGGGTGTCCTTTGAAAATATTCTATAGTCTGTGAGTGGCAGTTGGTAAAAACATGGTAATATTTAGAAAATGAATAGAGTTAAGAAAAGAAAAGAGGAAATTGGCAAAATTCAAAAAACAATTTTAAGAAAAATGTTGTAAAGCTTAGAGAAACAACTGAAAGTGTTCCAGATGACTGAAGTATTTGGGGTCAAAGGCATCCAGGAGAACTATATGTTCTTTAAAGAACCCTTCTAAGAACTCAGAAGAACCCAAGCTCTGCCCATACTGGAGAGGGGTAGGTCGGAAGA